TTGCCACCACAAAAAGAGCTACTATAAATATTTTTGTACATATAGGTCCTTTTCCTTTTTCTTTGATCTCTTTGGGATATAGAACTAGTAGTGGTATTACTGGGTCAAAGAATATGCGTAGTTTTTTATAGTTCCAGATTATTCTCCAGAATTGTTGGACCAATTTACAACTCAACCAACAATGCACTGGTGTCTCTATTTTTCCATATCCCTTCCAGATTTGTCATTTCTCCTTTCTGTTATGTTAGCTGATCTGATAGATGTGAGTTGGTATTTTAGAATTGTTTTAATTTGCATTTCTCTAATCAGTTGTAACTTTGAGTATATTTCATATAATTATGGATAGCTTATTTCTTCTGAAAACTGTTCATATTTTTTAACCATTTATCAGTTAAGGAATGGCTCTTATTTTTATTAATTTGGCTTGGTTAGTCACATTCATTTTAGCATGTCCTCATTGATAGGCTTTAAGACAGGCCTGCACAACTTGTGTCCTGCCAAAGGATTTTGGGCAGCCAACGAAACATGTAGAGTATATTGTAGGCCTGCTCTAAGATAATACCATATTTATATAATACTTTCCTATGTCTTTTTAGCATAAAACAGGATGTACTTTTGTTGCCCCGACTTGGGCTGAGCTGCTTTCATTGGCTTTTATGTACCCTTGAAAGTTAAAGTATCTTAGAGCAATTGGGAAGGGCCAGATTATGAAGTCTTAACATTCTAAAAAGGGAGGAAGAAACAAGTGTTTCTTTGGAAACCCATTGTCTTACAGGGTCACACAGGTTCATAGTTAGTAACACAGAGACTCTAGCTTTTATGGTGTTATTGCTGTTTGGAGATAGGGCACAGTATTTTAAGAGAAGAAAAGGCAGATAAAAAGAAATATACTAAGGAAGGGTTAGGAACTTACCATTCTGCATGATTAGGGTACAAAAAGAAGAGTACAGTTATTGGGGGATAAGTGAGGGCAATGAACAGTCTATCATGAACCTCACTCTTTACCTGAATTGGACAAAGGAAAGTTGAATATACATATATCTAGTTTGGTGTAGAAATACATTAAATTTAACAGGGAAACAGTTTAAGACTAGGAGCAGGGAGAGGGGCATAAGGGCCTAGACAACATTTTGGAGATAATAGTTAGAAAAAAACAAATATCAACTTAAGAAGTTTGATCTTAAAAGGGGGCAATAAAAAGAGAAAGAAAGTGTAAGGATCATTGAACAGACCACTGTAGTTGCGGATTAGTTGTGCTGATTATATTCTTTCTTTTCACCTCCATTGCTAAAATGTGGTGGCTGGGAGGAAAAGAGAGGAAAACAAATAGTCGTAACAATGAATGTGAATGGGATGTGTACTCTGATCATGCGGAGGAGGTTGGCAAAATAGATGAGAAAGCAGAATTCATCAATATTTACAAGAAATGCACTAAATATAAAAATTCACACAGAGTTGATATTAAAAAATGGGACAGCATTTATTATGCTTCAGGTAAATAAAAAAAAAGCAGAGAGTAATAATCATGGTCTCAAACAAAGCAAGAGTAAAAACAGACATGATTAAGGAAAATAAGCATCAGGGTAACTATATTATGCTTAAAGGCACCATAGATAATAGAATAATCTAATAACAGTAATTACTTGTGTACATTACCTGAAGGAGAAGTTAATTAACAAGAGAGTTAGCAAAAATTATAATAGTTGACTAGATGGTGCAGTGGATAAAGTTCCAGAACTGGAGTGAGGAAGACTCATCTTCCTGGGTTCAAATTTGGCCTTAGACACTTAATAGCTGAGTGACCCTGGGCAAATCACTTAACCCTGTTTGCCTCAGTTTCTTCATCTGTAAAGCGAGCTGGAGAAGGAAATGGCAAACAACTTCAGTATTTTGCCAAAAAAACCTCAAATAGGATCACTAAAAGTCAGACATGACTCAGACAACTGAACAATAGCAATGTAATAGTTGAGGGTCTCAATATGTTATTCAGGTCTAGTAGATTTTTATCTAAAGAAAAAAATAAGAAAAGTTAAGGATGTGAATAGAATTTTAGAAGTTAGAGTTGCTAGATCATTGACCATTACTAAATAAGAATAGAAAGCAAAATAGATATTTCTCAGTTGTATATGACATCTTTACGACAATTAACCATGTACTAGGATATAAAAACCTCACAAACAAATGCAAAAAAGTAGAATTAAACATACCCTTTACTGGCCACAATGCAATAAAGTTATCTTTCATAAAGGGCCGTTGAAGAAAGGATTCAGACTTTTAAACTGTTTTTTTATACTTAGCAAGAATCTCTTTTCTCTCCCTCTCACCACTCCCATTGAGGGGATAAAAGGAAGAAAAACAAAATTCTCTTAAAAATATTCATAGAGAAGTAGAACAGATTCCCACTTCGGCCATGTCCAAAAATAGGTCTCCTTCATTACTCTTCATCTTTCTTCCCCTTTGTCAGAAAGTGGACAGTACATTTCATCATTAGTCCTTTGGAGTCGGGCTGGTCATTTTGTTGATTGGAGTTCTTGAGTCTTTCAATATTGCTTGTGTTTAAAATGTTAACATATAAATTGTTCTTCTGGTTCTGCTCACTTTACTGTGCATCAATTTATATATAAACTTCCTCAGGTTTCTTTTAAGTAACTGGATAGTTATTTAGTGCTTCTGGCTAGGCCATGCCAGTATAATAAAAATGACAACACTTCAAACCCAGCTCAGCCTCTGCCTTTCAACTACTGTTCTACCTCTGCCTCAGCAGCCCTCCCACGATAGCAACACCTTCTGGCCTTCTATTCTGATTAGTGAGATCCTTTCTGGAACCTCCATTTGAAGTAGTTATCATGCCAACATACTGAATCCTCAGCTGATTGATCCCCTAACTCTCACACTTAATTCTGTGAGTTTGTTTATTGAGCTTCAGAAGATCCTTTAAATAGTACCCAGTTTAGTTACATGAAGCTTGCAAAGAGTTGAAGGTAGGCAAGCTATTTGCTACTGACTACGCTTTGGGGAAATGTTAACATTACTTTGACATGCCCTTTTGAGTTTCTTTTTCTCTTCCTTTATCTTTCTGTCTCTTGCCTCTCTGGGCAATTGGTGCAGGGATATTGAGTATACTCATACTACTTATCTTCAATCTTGTGAGGCAAGAGCATCAAATTAATTTTTCTCTTGACATAAGAAGTATTTAATCTTGAGACTCAAAGCTTGAAAGAAAGTAACAAATGTAAATAGTATCTTTGAATTTCCAGGGAACAATTATGTTCTCTGTAAGCTGCCTGCCTGTGTGGGTACCTAGTACCTCAGAGTACCTCCACCAAGAGGTATTTGTGTTTAGTTAAAAGAAATCAAGAAAAACTGAACACAACCTTCACCTCTACCCATACCCACTTGGTTGGTGCCCTCTCCCCTCAAAAGGTAAAGTACTCTGATAGGTTACAAAATTACTGAATCACTTTACCATTGGATCACAAAACACCAGAACACTGGAATGATTTGAGGCATCCAGATATAATGCTGAATCTGTAGTCAGGAAGACCAGAATTCAGATCTGCCTCAGACATTTTTTAACTGTATAGCCTACGCAAGTTACTTGACCTCTCTAAACTTCAAGTTCCTTATCTAAAAAATAATAGCATCTACATCACAGTTATTGTGAAGATTAAATGTGGTTATATATATGAAGTTCCTGGCTAACCTGTAAGCTTTATGTAAATATTAGTTATTATGATTATGATTATGATTTTGGTGGGAGTGGTAATGACTGTGGTGCTAATGGGAATTCCATAGAACTTGGAAAATGTGGAGCCCAAGAGTCAGAGATACTCTTATACATTAGATAGGCCTGCATATATGCTTCAGTACTAAAAAGAGGAGCAAGCAACATCTCTCTTTTCTCAGACCTGTCTTATTCAGAAGAGCTCGCTCTGGAAAACCAAGGGCCGATGTGGGTTCTTATAGGGGTGTTGTGTGTGCTCTAGGTACTATCAGTTCTGCTAATGAAAAGAAAAGAGCTTTGGAGGTCATGGCTAGAAAGCAGTGAGTGGCATGATCTCAAAAAATTGGTGAAGAAACTTCTCTTATTACTGACCTTAATCCTAGTTGAAATGCAAAAAATTACACACAAATAGACTCTGTCCAGTTTGGACTAGAAATGACTAGGCCCAATCCTCTCTGATTCTTTTCCACCTGCTGTGTTCCAGTTGTACTGGGCAATCCCAGTTGTTAGGAGGGTGCTACTTGAGGTAGCATAGGAATAACAGGAGATATATCAGTTAAACAATGATTGAGCAAGAGAGAGTGAGCCTCAAATATAACAAATTTTTAGTTAATTTTCACTGATACATTCCCATAATTTGCAGCAATTGCAAATGAAAAATTACACTCTATGATGTGTTTCTAACAATATTCTTTTTTATGATTTTTGAATGTATATAGTATTATATAATATTTTTATGTTATGGTTTAAATAAGCTTTTATGGACCAACCTGGGGTCCTAATTATCATCTCAGGAAAAAAATAGTCTTATAAGTGAACTTTTGGAACACAATTGGTCTATATTTTTATATATTAGAGATTTCCTGTATTTTCTCATGGAATTACTTTAATTAAAAAATTCAACAACAATCTCACGAAGCTCTGATCCTTTCTTGTTAGAAATATTTTATTTCAGGTTGCCAGAGTGCTTTGTCTTGTCATTTTCTTTGCCTGTATCACACTCTATGTTGTGTTGTACTTACCTGAGTTCAAGTTGTATTCCATGTTCTAGACTATAAGCTCTCTGATGGGAAGGACAATGTCATTTATCCCTTTTGTAACCCCACTACCTAGCATGATGCCTATAGTAGGCACTTAATAAAGATTTTTTGAGATGAATAGAAGAGTTTTGCTAAAATGTAAAGGCAGAGCAGTGTCCTCTGATTATAAAAAAACAGATAATATCAATGTCCACACGAAAACATTTTTCTTTTTGGTTTCTCTGTTGTGTTCCCAGATGAAGACGGTTAGCGTTGCCTTAGTTTTGTGCCTAAATGTAGGTGTGGATCCTCCGGATGTGGTGAAGACAACTCCCTGTGCCCGTTTAGAGTGCTGGATTGGTAAGTGTGAATTTTCTTATGACCTGTCATGGAGAGGCAATCTGGAGGACTTCGAGGATAAACACACCTTGATTGTAAGTTCCTTGGCCCCTGCCCTTAAGATCAACATGAGATTGTCCTATTTATGTTTTATACAAGTCTAAAAAATTATTATACTTTTATTATATATAGTTGCTTTATCTTCTTTTAGTCATTTATAGTAAAAAAAAAGACTTTCTTTTGGAAATGTTTATATATGTGTGTATATGTATATAGGATATAGATATACACTTATACAATACTCATTCACACGTATATATGTTAAGTAATTGTTAATATGTATTGATATATAAATGCATTGGTATGTATTGATTATATATGTTTGTGTGCATACACATATACATGTATATATGAACAAAAATTTCAAAGTTTTTTGTGCTGTTTTCTGTGCACAGTGCTAGGCATTAGGGAAATAGGGACAAAAATGAAGCAACCCATGCTTTCTTTCATCTATGTGTCTTTTGTGTGTTTTTAGAATATAGACAGCAAAGTCCTGATTGATAGAATTGCTGCTAAAAAAACTTCTCAGACCTCAAATTCCAAGACTAAATGTTGTTGTTTCACTAATAATGGCCGATTTTGCTAATTGCCAGGAGGAAGGCTTTTGATATGAAGGAAAGACAATAGGAAAAACCTAGAATTATTCCTCATTTGCAAGAAATCAAGAAAGGGAATTGCATCCGACATTAAAACAAACAAACCAACAAAGAAACAGAGGTTCTCAAGCTTTCACTAAACATGACATATCCTACCTAATCATCACTGAAAGAAGATGAACCTCATATAAAAGAGACATTTGAAACATTCTTGTCATTAAAAAGTCCCTTGTCTGCAGAGATTATTTCATTTTTGTCTTTGTGTCCTCAAATCATAGCCTGGTACACTGCTATGTGTGCCAACTGGTGCATATAATTGGCCCTCAATAAATCCATGTTGGTCATCAATTTGGGCTCTAGCACCAGCCAAGAGATATAATTGATAGCATCTTTTACCTATACCTAATAAAGGCCTCATTTAGATCAATAGAGTAAGGGCTGGGCTGGAACAATAATCTGTTGTTTCAATTTGCATTTATGCCAGCCACATTAGGGAAGATGTTGTTACAATTTTCATATTTCTCAGAGTCATATATATGTATGTGTTTATGTATATATGTTATATATACACACACACATACATATATGTAAATTTATTGATTTGTTTTTATAACATCATTTCCCGGTATATTCCCTATCCCCCTTCTCCCAAAGTTCCATCACATATAACAAAGAAGACAAAAGAGAAAAAAAGTTCACCTAAGTAAAGCAGCACATCTGTGAACGTATCATATGCAGTGTTCCATATTCATTGTTGGTCCCCATCTCTTCAAAGATGGGAGAGAGGTGCATCTTCGTATTTCTTCTTTGGATCCAAGCCTGGTCATTACAGTTTCACGACATTCAATTACAATGACTTTGTTGTTGTTATTCTTTTCATTTATATTGTTATGTATGTTTTCCTGGTTTTGCTTACTTCATCTTGCATTAGTTATGAGTTTTTCCATGCTTCTGTATATTCATTATATTTGTCTTTTTTCTCTTTCTCTTTGATATTTGTATCCAATATCAATATTTAGCACAATGCCTGGCACATAACTTCACAAACACCAACA